CCAGTTCCTTCTCAATCCCCCAAAGGGGGACTCGGGATGGCTTACATATGGCAGCAATTCGATGCCACTACATATAACAAAGCAATATAATAACAATTTAATCATCCGGGCATGCCACGGGCAACATCCTTGCAGATGGCCAGTGCTCTCACACCAGAAGCGACTTGCAGTTGCTCCAGATACGAAAAAATATATTATAATTATTAATATTATTATATTATATTAATAATTATATAATTATAATTATATAAAAGGAACATTAATTAAAAACAATAAAACAGTATTAACAGCCATATCACCATTCCAGTCGAATTCCGTATCTAAAGTGCTATTTATGCCTGTTGTCCAAAAGCCTGGTCCCAGAACCACGACTTCAATTTCTTCCTAAAAGACAGAAGGGATTATGCTGATCTTACCTTGGTAGGAAGCAAGTTCCATAGGCAGGGGGACACAGCTGAGAAGGCCCTGTCTCTCATCCCCATCAGCCGTATTTGCGGGAGCGAGAGCAGGGCCTCCCTGGATCAGTGAAATATATGCAGTCATAGCTAGGTTGAGCCTTTCAGTTGTGCGACAGGTGTCAAAGCATTGAATTTACTTGCAACGGTCAAATCTGTGCACCAAATGTGAGACAAAAGGTTGTTGTGTGTTCTTGTAGATTGTACATATACAACTTAGGACCATCTGTACACCATTTTTGAGAACGTTACAACACTTGTGCAACCATTATTCATTATTCACAGTTGAGGAGATGGTCCATGGTTTCATCAACTTCCTTGCACAATCTGCGTTTTGGGTCATCAGGTGATTTTTCAATCCTGGCTTTAATGACCTTTGTTCTTTATTATTATTATTATTATTATTATTATTATTATTATTATTATTATTATTAAGTTCCAGTGAATCATTTTGGCCACAGAGTTGTGCCTCTGTTGGTAGTCTGTCCGTGCGATTTTCTTGCAACAGCTAAGGAGATGATCCATGGTTTCATCAGCTTCCTTGTACAGTCTGCATTTTGGGTCATCAGCTGATTTTTCAATCCTGGCTTTAATGGCCTTTGTTCATTATTATTATTATTATTATTATTATTATTATTATTATTATTATTATTATGTTCCAGTGAATCATTTGGGCCACAGAGTTGTGCCTCTGTTGGTAGTCTGTCTGTGCGATTTTCTTGCAACAGCTGAGGAGATGGTCCATGGTTTCATCAGCTTCCTTGCACAGTCTGCATTTTGGGTCATCAGCTGATTTTTCAATCCTGGCTTTAATGGCCTTTATTCTTTATTATTATTATTATTATTATTATTATTATTATTATTATTAAGTTCCAGTTAATCATTTCAGCCACAGAGTTGTGCCTCTGTTTGTAGTCCGTCTGTGCGATTTTCTTGCAACACTATTGTTGTTGTTGCTATTAATATTATTATTGTTGTGTTGCCCTACGTCCAGTGATGTGAATTTAGACTTTTGCTCCGGGTGTTTGTGCTCCTGAACATGTCATGCAATATTTTATTTTAGATTGAAGAAGTGCCCGGAGAGCTGACCCAGGATGATTTGGCCACAGACGACGTCATGCTCTTGGACACCTATGACCAGGTACGCTGTTGCTCAATGCCATGCCAAAGAGACCCAGTGTTTATTCCTTCTCCTCAGAGACCTAGGAATAGGGAATTTTCTTGTTTTCCCCACTCCCAACCATCTATTTTGTGCGACAGCATAAGACTGACAGATGATTGCTTAATAGTATAACTCACACAGAAGGCAAAGGAGTTCAATGATCTCATCAGAGTTGCTCTCTTTTCCTTTTGCAAGGTCTTTGTGTGGGTTGGAAAAGACGCTCAAGAGGAAGAGAAGACAGAGGCAGAGGCGTCGGGTAAGTGGAACAAAATTGTTATCCTTTCTGTGGAATTCTCTGTGGGCAGACACTTCCGCTGTGTCATCCGAATGTAGAGTTTCGACATGGAAAGGTAATGGTGATTATGCTCTCATGTGTCTTACCTGTTTCTCGGCCTCGTCTTCACAGCCAGGAGATACATCGAGACCGACCCGTCCAACCGCGACCGGAGGACCCCCATCACGCTCATCCGGCAGGGCTTCGAGCCGCCCACCTTCACCGGCTGGTTCCTGGGTTGGGAAGATAGCTATTGGGATGTCGACCCCTTGGAGAGGGCCCTGGCGGAGCTGTCTGCGTGAAGTGGGAACCCACTCGTTCCCCGTGTCCATACAAGGGGAAATAACCTCGTGCCTTTTCTGCCTTCCTCCTTCCACCCGGCACAGAAGTGTGGCCTTCCCTAGAAACCAATAGTCCAAGGCGCTGTGCAATAATAGTGGAGATCTGCCCACAAAACGGTTGTCCTAGTGTAATTTCCTACTGCTTTGAGAACTGCCTTTTAATAAAGCTCATAAGGAACTTGTCAAAGTTTGGAATTATTATAATCTGCCTGGAATTGGATTGACACTCTCTGCACTTCCTCTCCGTTTACTCTGATCTTGGCTGCACTCCTCAAAATATCTAGGAAGAGAATGGATAATACGCACACTAGGCATTTGTTGTTTCTTGTTTATTCGTTCAGTCGCTTCCGACTCTTTGTGACCTCATGGACAAGCTCATGCTAGAGCTCCCTGTTGGCCGTGGCCACCCCCAGCTCCTTCAAGGTCAAGCGAGTCCCTTCAAGGATGCCATCCATCCATCTTGCCCTTGGTCAGCTGTGGCCACCCCCAGCTTCTTCAAAGTCAAGCGAGTCACTTCAAGGATACCATCCATCCATCTTGCCTTTGGTCGGCCCCTCTTCCTTTTTCCTTCCATTTTCCCCAGCATAATTGTCTTATCTAAGCTTTCCTTTCTTCTCATGATGTTGCCAAAATACTTCATCTTGACCTCTACTATCCTTCCCTTCAGTGAGCAGTCGGGCTTTATTTCCTGAAGTATGGACTAGTTGGATCTTCTCATGGTCCAAGGCAGTCTCAGAACTTTCCTCCACACCACAGTTCAAAAGCATCTCTCTTCCTTCACTCAGCCTTCCTTATGGTCCAGCTCTTGCATCCATAGGTTGCTACAGGGAATACCATTGCTTTAACTATACGGATCTTGGTTGCCAGTGTGATGTCTCTACTCTTCACTATTTTATCGAGATAGGTCATTGCTCTCCTCCCAAGTAAACATCTGATTTCCTGGCTGCAGTCTGCGTCTGCAGTAATCTTTGTACCTAGAAATGCAGTGTCTTTCACTGCCTCCACGTTTCTCCCTCTATTTGCCAGTTATCACGCCCCCGGTGGCACAGTGGGTTAAACACTTGTGCCCGCAGGACTGAAGACCGATAGGTCACAGGTTCGAATCCAGGGAGAGGCAGATGAGCTCCCTCTATCAACTCCTCATGCGGGGACATGAGAGAAGCCTCACACAAGGATGATAAAAACAGCAAATCATCTGGGCGACCCTTGGGCAACGTCCTTGCAGACAGCCAATTCTCTCACACCAGAAGCGACTTGCAGTTTCTCAAGTCGCTCCTGACACGACAAAAAAAAAATAAAAAAAAAACCAGTCTGGTTGCTATCATATTGGATTTTTTGATGTTTGACTGCAACCCAGCTTTGGTCCTTTCTTCTTTCACCTTGGTTCAAAGGCTCTTCAGCTTCTCCTCGCTTTTAGCCATTGAAGTGGTATCATCTGCATATCTAAGGTTGTTCATGTTTCGTCCAGCAATGTTAACTCCAGCCTTGGATTTGTCAAACCTTGCATGTCGCATGATGTGTTCTGCATACAAGTTGAATAGGGAGGGGGAGAGTATACAGCCCTGCCATCCTCTTTTCCTAATCTTGAACCAATCTTGAACTAGGCATGTGCGATCAAAAAAAGGAAAAATATTGCAAAAATCATTACAAAATTAGAGAGTACCGGTATGTCGTTTCTAAAGTGTCTTTAGTGCAAAATTTCGTTACTATGGTGTCTAAGCTGGATTCAGACTCGTAAAAAGTCCAGAATGAAGTCCAAAGAAAATAGCGCACAAATCTGAAACAATTATATCTTGTAAGCTGGGTTGGATTCTGTGGATCTCTGCTGGTCAAGTCCTTTGGCTGGAGCTAGAAATGAAAGCATGGATACAAGCTTTCCAGACAAGCCCTATATCCCAGGATCTGTTCCCTGGTTTTCTGCTTTAATGTGGATTATACGAGCATGAGTCCGCAGTAATAGTAACAACAACAAGAAGAAGAACCCTAGTTGTGGCACAGCTGGTTGGGAGTCAGCTGCATTAAAATCAGTACTGACCGAAAGGTCATGAGTTTAAAGCCAGCCCGGGTCAGAGTGAGCTTCCGGCCATTTGTTTAGCTTGCTGTCAACATTTGCAGCCTGAAAGACAGTTGCCTCTGTCAAGTAGGAAATTTAGGTACCGCTTATGTGGTGTGCAAAAGAATGAGGAAGTACTCTATCGGTGTCACAAGTGGACGGTGAAGCAACAGCTCCCCTGGTGACCAGAATTCAAAGCATGCCCTCATGAAACTGGAAAGTTAAATAGCCTCTGTGTGCCTCTCTATATATGTTGTGTGTCTATGGCACTGAATGTTTGCCATTTATATGTGCATTGTGATCCGCCCTGAGTACCCTTCGGGGTGAGAAGGCAGCATATAAATGTAGTAAATAAATAAATAGCATGAAACAATAGCAAGAGGAGGCTCCAAAAAAAGCAGTGGGAAAGAGAAAGTTGCAAAGACCACATGACAGCATCTGAACAACTTTTCAAATATCACCGAGACGGAACAAGAAGACACTGAAAATAACCTAGAACCAGAAGTAGCTCAGATCCAATGTTGGGAAGAGAAGAAAGAGACAGGACAGAAGGGGATACATGACTATTAAGAATATCTTACTCCAGTTGGTAGGGATTTTCTCAATATCTAAACTTTATTTTGGGGGCAAGGGAAATTGCATGAAACAACATAATATATATACACACATATTTAAAAAAAGAATATCAACACCCAAGTCTGTACTTTGAAGGTCTCTAGTCTTTCACCAGAGAAGGACCTTCTTCCAACTTTTCCTGGTTCTGTAATGAATTCTGTGCGCGTTGGTTGAGGCTTTCGTGGGCCACGCCGTCAATAGTTTCTTTCTGCACACAGTCCAATTTGAAGGAGGCGGGCGTCTCCGTATCAGCGGGCAAGGACTCCTTTACAGTCTGGGAGGGCTCCGCTTGGCCCTCCTGGAAGGGATGCAACAGTTAGGTATTTTTGTCATAAATAACTTAAAATGTTCTTTCAGTGGGACATAATGCATCAGAGGGTTTGGGTTAGGGTTAGGGTTCTTACCTTCTCCTTTAATTCAGAACAAGGAGGCGTCGTGGACCCTCCAGACGAGGCTGGGCTCCCACCGTGTTTGGCCACCGGGTGCTCTGACTGCAAAAGGAATGGAGTTGCAAACCCAATCATGCTTAAAACATTAGGCAAGATCTCACATCACAGTCACTTCGTTGTCCCACAAGCGATCCCGACACATTATAATGTCATATCAGCCTCTCAGTGAACATGGCAAAGGACTCCCTTCAAGTCTGCATCCATGATATTTGCAAAAACTGTTATACTAGAGCCCTGAAACACATTTCCCCACATACCATGCTCTGTCCAGATAATCCAGTAAATAGAAGCTTATTTAAAGAAGAATATATCTATATAAATTAAAAATGTAATGTTTGTTTGTGGGATTAATGTAACTCAAAAACCACGGGACGAATTGACACAAAATTTGGACACTATACCCCTAATAGACCAATGAGTGACCATCATTCATAAAACCTCCAAAAAAAACCAGCAGAAAGGACCCAAAAAGCTAAATAACAAAAAACTAAATGAATATACAGGAAAAAGGCAAGGAATAGGGAGGGAAGGAAGGGGGAGAAAGAAAGAATAAGAGAGAAAGAAGGAAAGAGAAGGAAGCATGGAAGCAAATAACAAAGGAAAGAAGGAGAGAAAGATGAAGGAAAAGAAAAAGGGAGAAGGAAGGAAAGAGGTAGAGAAGAAAGTAAGGAGAAAAGGAAAGGAAAAAAAGGAAAGGAAAGAGTGAGCGAAGGAAGGAGGGAAAGAAGGAGAAAAAGGAATGGAAGGTAAGAAGGAAAGAGGGAAGGATGGATGGAAGCAAAAAGTGAAGTATGGAAAGGGGTAGAGAAGGAAAAAAGGAGAGAAAGAGGGAGGGAAGGAAAGAGAGATGGAAGAAAAAAGCGAAGGAAGAAAGGAAAGAGGTAGAGAAGGAAGAAGGGAGAGAAAAAGGAAGGAAAAGAAAAAGGGGGAAGGAAGGAAAGAGGTAGAGAAGGAAAGAAAGAAGGAAAAAAAGGGAAGGAAGGAAGGAAGGAAAGAGGGAGCAAAGGAAGGAGGGAAAGAAGGAAAGAGGGAAGGAAGATTGGCCACAGCAACGCGTGGCGGGTACCGCTAGTATATATATAATAAGCAAATTTTTAAAAAGAGAATCAAAGTTCAAAATGTTATTTCCAAGATAGCCGAGATTCCAAAATCCATTCAAATACAGTCTCCAAAGTTAAGAAGTAAATATGTACATCCATAAACAAGATAGCATGAACCCAAGGCAGTCAACCACACATGAACTAAAAGCAAGAACAAACTTAGCAACTTGAATACATGAATTTGAAGAACATGGGACTAAAAATCTAGAGCTGTTCACCTGAATACAACATTGCTCTCACAAAGAATTGTACCGGCAGAAACCACTTTAAAAGGCCTCAATCTCTCCCATAACATCATTTCTCACACACCTGCTTTTCCTCTCCTTATCTCTAATTCTGTCTGTCTTTGTTGCATGCCCTGTCTCCTCAATTCCAAGTGCCTTGACCTAGACAAACATTCGTCTCCCACATTTCTTCAAGCCTGCACTTCTGGCAGGTCCTTATGAGAACTGATATTGCTTTCGCCAGTCTCGTAGGAACTGCCAGGAGATTCCAAAACAACTTTCTCCTGTCTACTTCTATCATCCTTTGGGCCCTCTGAATCCATCCCAGCATCCCCTTCCTCATCTTCTGACACTCGGAATCTGACCAGGCTACAACAAAAACAACAGTCTTAAGCAGCCATTCTCTTCCTCAACCATCCCTTTTCCTTCCCAAACTGGGATAGAAAATGTTACAACTGTTCCGCTTAGTTACCCATCTCTTACCAGCTGGGGAATTTGGGGGTTCAGTAACATGAAAACATGGAAAACATTCCCTGTATATATGCAACATACATTTTGTACAGCACCGAAATATCTCTAGTATGTATATTCCACTCAGACACTAGAAATGAGGAAATTAAAATCCAATAGTTTAATTTGCAGAAAACACTTATTGGGTGGGTACAATTGCAGAAGCAGTGCACCAAACCAGACTGATCTGCACCATGGGTTTTATAGTGGACCAGAGTCAGATTAAAGTAAACATGCACACGGATGCAAACCTTTTCCACTTTTTCTGTCTGCACTTTTCCCCTCCCAGTTCTATCCTTCTGAGAACTGGTTTGCCCTGAATCACAGCCTGATACTGCTTATTGTTATCTGTGCAACAAAATCGTAAAGGAAAAAGCTGCAAAGAACAAGAGTGGGGTCACATTACACCAAGTCTATCCCCCTGAAATAGGCTATTTGGTTCCGGAACGAACTGAAAATGCCTACCTTGACTTTGGTCTTCACAGTCTTGATTTCTAAATTCTCCAGCGTTATCCCCCAGGAGCCGATGGTATTGTCTACAATGGACTGTTGAAAAAGAACCGAAAATGGTGTCGGAATTGAAGCCGTATTACGGGTAGGAATCCTCTACTTATAGTTGGCTCTCGAGATAACATTTCTTTAGGAGTTTCTAGGTCCTCCAGCATGACTCTACGGTCCACTTTTAGAATCGCACTGGAGGACTTTTGAAGAGACTGAGAAAGCCAAGGAAAGATTAAAGCAGAGGACAAGAAAGGCTGGAGGGGATGGGAAGAAGGATGAAACTCCTGTCTAGTCAAAACTGCAGGGGTTTTAGATAGGAAATTGCGGACATGGAAGTGGAGGAAGGTTCAAGAAACAGGAGGGAGGAGGAGTTCAGGAAGGAGGGAAGAAAGAAAGTAAGTAAGAAAGAAAAGAAGGAAGGAACGAAGGAAAGAAGGAAAAATGAAAGAGAAAAAGAAGGAAGGAAGGAAAGTAAGAAGAAAGAAGGAAGGAAGGAAGGAAAAAAGGAAGGGAGAAGGGAAGGAACAAAAAAAGGAAGGGAGGGAAGGAAGGAAGGAAGGAAGGAAGGAAGGAAGGAAGGAAGGAAGGAAGGAAGGAAAAAAATTAAGAAAAACAATGGAAGGAAGGAAGGAAGGAAAAAGGAAGGGAGGAGGAAAGGAAAGAAAGGGGACGGAAGGAGGGAGGGAAGGAAGTAAGGAAAAAAAGAAAGAAAAAAAGAAGGAAGGAAGGAAAAAGAAAAAAGGAAGGAAGGAAAAAGAAAGAGGAAGGAAGGAAGGAAAAAGAAAGAAAGAAAAAAGAAGGAAGTATGAAAAAAGAAGGAAGGAAAGAAGGAAAAAAGAAAGAAGGAAAGAAAAAAGGACGTAAGGAGGGAAGGAAGAAAATAAGGAAAAAGAAAGAAAAAATGATGGCTGTAAAGAAGGAAGGAAGGGGAAAAGGAAGGGAAAATAAGGAAGGAAAAAGAAAAAAGGAAGGAAAAAGAAAGAGGAAGGAAGGAAGGAAAGAAAAAGAAAGAAAGAAAGAAGGAAGGAAAGAAGGGGGAAAAGAAGGAAGGAAAGAAGGGAAGAAAAAAGGACGTAAGGAGGGAGGGAAGGAAGAAAGTAAGAAAAAAGAAAGAAAGAAACAATGGATGGAAGGAAGGAAGGAAAAAAGAAAAAAGGAAGGAAAAAGAAGGAAAGAAGGAAAAAGAAAGAAGGAAGCAAAGAAAGAAAAGAGGAAGGAGGGAGGAAAAAAGGAAGGAAGGGAATGGTTGGAATGAAGATAGATAAGAAGTGCAGAGAAAAGGACAACAAAGCAGAGAAGTGTGAATGAAAGGAAAAAGCTTGCACGCACATGTTTACAAACTTTAGAAACCCCATCTATGAAAAGGCCAAGTTGCATCTCAGTCATGTGGCCCTGTTTTCCTCTTGCACACCCAATCTCTTTGTCTGGCCCACATAAACCTATTGCATTTGATCTCCTCGCTTCTAGTGTCTCAAATAGTGATACTAGGGGTTGCCTTTGAAAGGAGCACGGCAGCAGATCCCAACCCCTTCCTAGAGAGAACGTGCTGTTTTCTCCACAGGAAAGTCCCACCACAAAGGTATAAATAAATCCCAGATAATTCTACTCCAGCTTCTGCTTCTCTGTACCTGTACGTTCTGTGCAACGTTGTCCCGATTGCAGATGATCTGAGAGAGGTATTTGGTCTTCAAAACGTCCCCCAGAGTGGTCTGCGTCAGGAGCAAAATGGCCGAGTCTGGATCCGTGACGTTCCGTATCACCAGGACGGGGTTGTGGATCCGGTAATAAATGGCACCGTCGATTTCGAGGGACAGCGGGTCTTTGGTGAGAACCTCAAGCAGGACAGGAGAAACAAAGGAATACAGGACTCCATGCAAGGGGTGGAAAGACTAGAGGTTGGTGTCTGAATCCCAGGAAGACCCCACAGAATATGGGCAAAGTGGCCACTTACTTCGTGGAGAGGCAGATCCAGAAACCTGGTCCTCATGTCCACTCTGATCAGGATATCAATGCAGGGCAAGATGAAGTACACCCCTGCGGGGAAGGCCATGCAAAGAGACTCAAAGTGGCTATGTGTTAATCATTGCCATTCACTATTATTATCATTATCATTATCATTATTATGCTGCAAGTCGTCTCTGGTTGCTTCTGGATCGAGAGAAGCAGCCGTCTACGAAGATGTTGCCCAGGGGACGCCTGGATGTCTTGCAATCCTGCGAGGAGGCTTCTCTCATGTCACAAAGGACTACCATCTCACCCGCCTCATAGGAAACCTGCTACAAAACAGGAGCTTTTTTGTTGAGTTTCAGGGCCAGAGAAGCAGATGGCGGAAACAGAAGAACGGCCTGCTTCAGGGGAGCGTGCTTGCTCCATCCATGTTCAACATTTACACAAATGACCAGCCACTGCCAGAAGGGACAGAGAGTTTCATCTATGCTGATGATCGTGCCATTACTGCTCAAGCAGGGAGCTTTGAGATGGTTGAACAGAAGCTATCCAAAGCTCTAGGTGCTCTTACTGCCTATTACAGGGAAAACCAGCTGATCCCTAACCCATCTAAAACACAGACATGTGCCTTTCACCTTAAGAACAGACAAGCATCCCGAGGTCTGAGGATTACCTGGGAAGGAATCCCACTGGAGCATTGCAGCGCACCCAAATACCTGGGAGTCACTCTGGACCGTGCTCTGACCTACAAGAAGCACTGCCTGAACATCAAGCAAAAAGTGGGTGCTAGAAACAATATCATACGAAAGCTGACTGGCACAACCCGGGATCACAACCAGATACAGTGAAGACATCTGCCCTTGCGCTATGCTACTCTGCTGCTGAGTATGCATGCCCAGTGTGGAACACATCTCACCACACTAAAACAGTGGATGTGGCTCTTAATGAGACATGCCGCATTATCACGGGGTGTCTGCGCCCTACACCACTGGAGAAATTACACTGTCTAGCCGGTATTGCACCACCTGACATCCGCCGGGAAGTGGCAGCCAATAGTGAAAGGACCAAGGAAGAGACATCTCCAGCTCATCCCCTGTTTGGGTATCAGCCAGCACGTCAACGACTTAAATCCAGACATAGTTTTCTAAGATCTACAGAGACACTCGCTGGAACACCTCAGCAAGCGAGAGTCCAAAAGTGGCAGGCTCAAACCCAGCACCTCAATCCATGGGTGATACCAGATGAGAGACTCCCCCCGGGCACACAGAAGACTAGGCGACTTGGAAGGCGCTGAACAGACTGCGCTCTGGCACCACGAGATGCAGAGCCAACCTTCAGAAATGGGGCTACAAAGTGGAATCCTCGACATGCGAGTGCGGAGAGGAGCAAACCATTGACCACCTGCTGCAATGCAACCTGAGCCCTGCCACATGCACCATGGAGGACCTCCTTGTGGCAACACCAGAGGCACTCCAAGTGACCAGATACTGGTCAAAGGACATTTAATCAACTACCAAGTTTGCAAAATTTGTGGGGTTTTTTTTTATCTGTTTGTTTGTTTTGCTCTGTTAGAAATGTAATACAATGTTCTGGTTGCGGACGACACGATAAATAAAACAAATAAATATCATTATTTTTTTTATTTCCCGCTGTTCTCTCCACAATGAGACTCATAGCAGCTATGTATCTATTATTAGCATTATAATTTAATATTAATATTATGTTGATTACATGCATTATTATTATGCTTATGTATACCCTGCTTTTCTCTCCACAAGGGGATTCAAAGAGGCTATGTATCATTAGCATTCAAAATTTATTATTATTATTATGTTTATTATGTTTATTTATACCCCGCTTTTTCTCTCTACAAGAGACTCATAGCAGCTATGTATCTATTATTAGCATTATAATTTATTATTATTACTGCAGTGAAAGTGGAATTATAAAGGTTCTCTTACCTGGTCGTACCTCTCCTCCTTTCCACATGTGTCCCAGCCTTAAGATGACAACTTGCTCATATTCATTGACAATCTGCGAAGGAGGAAAATGGTACAAATCATTGCCAAATATACAGGTGTGTGCCTGTTCTTCTTCCAGCAAACTTCACCATATATCTGTGTAATAATAATAATAATAATAATAATAATAATAATATCCATATAATGATGATATTATTATTGTATTGTCAAAGGCTTTCATGGCTGGAATCACTGGGTTGTTGTAGGTTTTTTCGGGCTATATAGCCATGTTCTAGAGGCATTCTCTCCTGATGTTTCGCCTGCATCTATGGCAAGCTTCCTCACTACCTCTGAGGATGCTTGCCATAGATGCAGGCGAAACTTCAGGAGAGAATGCCTCTAGACTATGGCTATATAGCCCGAAAAAACCTACAACAACCCATTATTATTATTATGATGGGTTGTTGTAGGTTATTGTAGTGAGGAAGCTTGCCATAGATGCAGGCGAAACATCAGGAGAGAATGCCTCTAGAACTTGGCCATATAGCCTGAAAAAACCTACAACAACCTGATGTTATTATTATTATTATTATTATTATTATTATTATTATTATTATTATTATTATTCACCTCTCCTCATGGTTAATAATAATAATAATAATAATAATAATAATAATAATAATTTTATTTCTTACCCACCTATCTTTGAGGCTAATAATAACATCTGTATAATAATAAATATCATATAATATAATAATAGTGACTTGATTATAAGGATAGGTCAGATTCTAATTATTATTATTTTGTTTTGTAAATTGAGAGAAGTCTGAATTGATTTATAGTTAGAATTTGTAGTAGTTATAGAGTATAGGAATAATTTAGTGATAAAGGTATTTTTACTTAATGTGTTTATGTTAAATTGAATAAATGCAATAAAAAAATAATGACAATAATAATAATAATAATCTTATTTCTTACCCACGTCTCCTCAAGGCTAATAATAATAATAATAATAATAATAATAATATCTGTATAACAATAGCAATAATAATATTTTTATTAATCTACCTCTCCTCAAAGCTAATAATAATAATAATAATAATAATATCTGTATAACAATAGCAATAATAATAATTTTATTAATCTACCTCTCCTCAAAGCTAATAATAATAATAATAATAATAATAATATCTGTATAACAATAGCAATAATAATAATTTTATTAATCTACCACTCCTCAAGGCTAATAATAATAATAATAATAATAATAATAATAATAATAATATCAGTATACCCACTGTCAGCTCCAGCTTCTGCCAACCTAGCAGTTCAAAAACATGCAGATCAATAGGTACCGCTCTGGCGGGAAGGTAACAGCGCTCCATGCAGTCATGCCAGCCACATGACCTTGGAGGTGTCTATGGAAAACACCGGCTCTTCGGCTTAGAAATGGAGATGAGCACCATACCCCAAAGTTGGACACGACTGGACTTAAAATCAGGGGAAAAACTTTACCTTTACCTATCAGTATAACAATAAAATAATAATAATACCACTATACTACTACTACTACTACTACTACTAATTTTATTTCTTACCCAGCTCTCCTTGTGGCTAATAATAATAATAATAATAATAATAATAATATCAGTATAATAAAAATAATAACAATACCACTATAATACTAATAATAATAATAATAATAATAATAATAATAATTTTATTTCTTACCCAGCTCTCCTTGTGGCTAATAATAATAATAATATAGGTATAATAAAAATAATAATAATACCACTATAATACTAATACTACTACTAATTATTATTATTATTATTATTATTATTTTATTTCTTACCCACCTCTTCTTGTGGCTAATAATAATAATAATATCAGTATAATAAAATAATAATAATTCCACTATAATACTAATACTACTACTACTAATAATAATTTTATTTTTTTACCTGCCATTATTTCTTCACCTGGAGGGCTGAAGTTTGCCCATGCCTGGTTTAGAGCAACTAGAGGAAAAGGTCTGGCTCCCTGAAAGTTATTACCATTATTATTCGAAGTCATAGGTGATTTCCAAAGAGATGTTTTTACCTGCAGACACATCCAGACAGAGACGGGAAAAGTCAGAATGAGGATGAGGTACGAAAGCAGCACCAAGACCCACTCGCCGGGTTCCAGGCTCTGATCCAACTTCTCTGGAAGTTAAAGAAAGAAAAGTCGTTACACAAAACGAATCACGCTTGCTCCATCAATTAACATTTACCCAAATGACCAGCCACTGCCAGAAGGGACAGAGAGTTTCATTTATGCTGACGACCGTGTCATCACCGCTCAAGCAGAGAGCTTTGAAATGGTTGAACAGAAGCTCTCCAAAGCTAGCTCCACCAATGTTCAACAAGTACACAAATGATTAGCCACTGCCAGAAGGGACATAGAGAGTTTCATCTATGCAGACGACTGTGCCATCACCGCTCAAGCAGGGAGCTTTGAAATGATTGAAGCTTTAGATGCCCCTGTCCAGCAGGCCATGTTTACCTGCCCTTCCCTGATACCGTCCTACAATGGCAGGGGGGTTCGGTGTGTCTTGGAACTCTTTCTCCACCGGCTGAGCTTCCTCCATGAGACCTAGCGGCACGAGGCCCAAGCCCACTTGCACACACATGAGGTTGGGGCCCACCTGAGAGGCCCAGGTCCCAGCAGTGACAGTTGCGCTGCCCACGGCTTGCTTGCCTGGCAACAGCGGAACTCAATGCCACTTCCGCATCGCATTCTAAAGAATGGACATATTTTGGGGAGGGCCCTTTGGGAGAGAGGTAGAGCCCTGCCAAACTACAAAGCCCAGGACTCCACGGTGAAAGGGAGCATCAATCACAACCAACTCTGGGGTATCTGTCTACACCTGGCCCTGTGCTTCTAAACCATTGCTAAAGGGAATGCTGGGCTTCAAAGGCCAACAAAACCTCTTCTAGATCCATGATTCCCAAATTCTATGGCAACCCCCAGCATCCTCAGCCAATACCTCTCTCTCTATCCCCCCTCACTCTCTATCTATCTATCTATCTATCTATCTATCTATCTATCTATCTATCTATCTATCTATCATCTATTTATCATCTGTTTATCCATCTATAAATCATCTATTGCCTCCATCTATCTATCCATTTATTTATTTATTTACGACATTTATATGCCGCCCTTCTCACCCCGAAGGGGACTCAGAGCGGCTTACAAGGTATATATACATACAATATATTATTAACATAGTACAATATCAGTTTTAAATATTGCTATATTGCACTATATCAATTATACTGTAATATTATTAGTAATATTACATGTAATATAAATATATAATTATAATATCATATTATTATTAGTAGTAGTATTATATTGCATTACATTACAATATTATACATCTGTCAATGTATCATCTATCATCATCTATCATCTATCTATCTATCTATCTATCTATCTATCTATCTATCTATCTATCTATCTATCATCTGTGTATTATCTATCTATCTATGGCCTGGACCTATCATCTATCTATCATCTTCCTATTTATCTACCTCTCTATCCCCTCTCGCTATCTATTTATCCATCCATCTGTCAATCATCTATCTGTCTATCATCCATCTATCCATCTACCTCTCTATCTCGTTATTTCTTTCTATCCGCCTTGCTATCTATATATTGTATCTATCTATCTGCCTATCTTCTATCTATCTGTCATGTTAAATCCATTTATTATCTGTCTATTATCTATGATCTCTCTCTTTATCTATGCCTCTATCTATCTATCTATCTATCTATCTATCTATCTATCTGCTATCTAGTAATCTATCATCTGTCTATTATATCCTCTATCCTCTATCTATCTATCTATCTATCTATCTATCTATCTATCTATCTATGGCCTCAACCTATCATCTATCAATGTATCATCTTTCTATTTATCTACCTCTCTATCCCCTCTCACTATCGATCTATCCATCCACCTGTCAATCATAAATCTATCTATCATCTATCTACTTCTCTATCTTGTTATTTCTCTCTATTCGCCTTGCTATCTATCTATTGCCTCTATCTATCTATTTATCTATCTTCTATCTATCTATCATCTAAAATCCATCTATCATCTGTCTATCATCTGTCCATTATCTATCCATGATCTTTCTGTCTATCTATCAGTTATCTAGTAATCTATCAGTTGTCTATTATATCATCTATCCTCTATCTTTCTATTTATCTATCTCTCTATCCCGTTATCTATCTATCCATCCATCTGTCAATCATCTATCTATTGATCATCTATCTATCTATCTATCTATCTATCTATCTATCTATCTATCTGCTATCTATTAATCTATCATCTGTCTATTATATCCTCTATCTATCTATAATCTGTCTATCATCTATCTATAAACTCTCTCTCTATTCCCTCAGTATCTATCTATCTACTATCTATCTACTATCTATCTATCTATCTATCTATCTATCTATCTATCTATCTATCTATCGTCAATTCATCTATCTATCTATCATCTATCTATCCCCCCTCTATCTATCTCTATATCTATCGCCCCACCTCTCTATCTATCATCTATCTATCTATCATCTATCTATCTATCTATCTATCTATCTATCTATCTATCTATCTATCTATCATCTGTCCATTATCTATCTATGATCTCTCTGCCTCTATCTATTCCCCCTTTCTCTTGCTCTCCCTCCCCCCCTCAATATCTCTCTCTCTGTCTCTCTATCTGGGTGTTTTGGACTGCAATTCCCATCATCCTCAACCAATTCCAGGGAGTCAATCGTACAACATTCCTGGAAGGCCAGGGTTTGGGAAACCCTGTTCTAAATTAAATGGGCCCAATGTCATGCCAATGAAGCAATTCTCCTCTTCAGTCAGTGTTCCCCAAACCGAAAAAGCATCTCTGATCACAATGCAACCTCGGCTCAATGTTTTCCGAATAATAAATCTGGATCGGCCGATTCGGCCCAAAGCAACACAGGGCACTGATGCAAGCTCCGTGAAGGGATGCTTTTCATATATAAACAACCTGCAATGCAATGCAACCGCCCTCTTCTTGTGTGCTTTTTTTGCTTCCCCGGAAGGTGGCATCGCAGGGCAAAGAGTTTGATGCATTGAGCAAAATGCATAGGCTCCATCTGTTTCTGCATTTTGCAAAAGGCCATAGCAATGAGCGGGAATGTTCCCCATTCAAAGGCCCCTCGGAATGGCTCTTGTACTTTGAGATAAGAAAGAAGAGCCAGATAAAGATGAGAAGGAAAACGTTTCAACTTGTTTTCATGCTAAAAATCAAGTCTGAGGAGGACACTTGACTGTGGGAATGGGATGAGAATAATAATTGTTGTTATCATAATTCAAAACAAATCCCTTGCTTTCTCTGCCAAAGAACGCTGGCGCCTCATCAAACTCCCAGGATCCCATAGACTTGAGCCCTGGCAGTTCAAGTGGGGTCAAGCTGCAGAATTTCCACAGTGTAGCAAATGCATCCCATGTTCAAAAGCCACAGGGCTGTCAGTTTGAACTTGGAAAGGGAATTCATTAGAAAAGTGGAGGTTGAGGAACATCCTTTTGTCTGCCTGTCTGTTTGCCTGCATCTCACTGGGCTAAACCCTTGGAGCTAGGTGCCACCTCTATGCAGATGACACACAACTCTACTACTCATTTCCACCTAATTCCAAGGAGGCCTCTCGGGTGCTGGACGAGTGCCTGGCCGCTGTGTCTATCTGGATGAGGAAGAACAAGCTGAAGATCAATCCCGACAAGACAGAGGTCCTCCTGGTCGATCATAAACCTGACCGGGGTATAGGGTGGCAACCTGTGCTGGATGGGGTTACACTCCCTCTGAAGACACAGGTCCGCAGTTTGGGAGTCCTCTTGGATTCATCGCTTACACTTGAGGCTCAGGCGTCGGCGGTGTCTGGGAGGGCTTTCGCACAACTGAGACTCGTGCGCCAACTGCGACCGTACCTCGCGAAGGCTGATCTGGCCGAGGTAGTCCATGCCTTGGTCACCTCCAGAATGGACTACTGCAATGCGCTCTACGTGGGGCTGCCCTTGAAAACGGCTCGGAAGTTCCAACTGGTCCAACGAGCAGAGGCCAGGATCTTAACTGGGGCCCATTACAGAGAGAGGTCAACCCTCCTGTTCAAGGAGCTCCACTGGCTGCCGTTTATCTTCCAAGCCCAATTTAAGGTGCAGGTGCTTACCTACAAAGCCCTGAACGGTTTGGGACCATCCTACCTGCGTGACCGCATCTCCGTCTACAAACCCACGCGTTCACTTCGGTCACCTGGAGAGGCCCTGCTCGTGATCCCGCCTGCGTCGCAAGCACATTTGGTGGGGACACGAGACAGGGCCTTTTCTGTGGTGGCCCCCCGACTCTGGAACACCCTCCCCAAAGATCTTAGACAGGCCCCTACACTGGCAGTCTTCAGAAAGAACTTGAAGACCTGGCTGATGTGCCTTCCCAGAATAGGAAATCTCCAATACCAAGTCCCATAAGCACTTTATTAAAACTAAGATTACTGCACGCTGCACGTGCCCTATAAGCCTTATATTTCACCTGTCACATCAGCACTTTTAATCCTGTACCGATTACTCTGGCCAGGCCCAGTTTCATTGTGTCTTAGTGTATTGTTTATTGCTTTTGTTTATATTGCTTCAATTGTTTTTAATTTGCCTTGGGTTTTGTATTGTTATGTTGTGTGTTGAGGCCTTGGCCTTTGTAAGCCGCATCGAGTCCTTCGGGAGATGCTAGCGGGGTACAAATAAAGTTTAATAATAATTAATAATTTAATAACTGCTGAGCTGTTAGCCCTAGCTCCTGCCAACCTAGCAGTTCAAAAACATGCAAATGTGAGTAAATCAATAGGTATCGCCTTGGAGGGAAAAGGCAAAAACGCCGGCCACACAACCAGAAGGTGTCTATAGACAAGGCCGGCTCGTCGGCTTGGAAATGAAGATAAGCACCTCCCTCAGAGCCGTAGATATGCACCTCCTCCAGAGCCAGAAATGAAAGGAGAAGCCTTTGCCCTTGTCTGTGTATTTGTGTCTTATTGTTTTTTCACTCTAACAAAGCGTTGAAATGCTGGACCACTCCAATAACCACCATGTCAGACTACACATGGTGTAGAAATCCACAAGCATGTGGACAATTTCAACAGAAAGGAAGAAACCATGAAAATGAACAAAATCTGGCTACCGGTATTAAAAAACTCTAAAATCACAACAGCACAACAACAGAGAGGAAACAAACAAGGACATCAAATCACCCCTCAACAAAAGATTGCTCCAGGCATTGCCAGGCCATCAATTGCTAATCAAGGTGGTCAGTTGAAACATTCACACCTAGCTCCAGCAGACAAGAGTCCTTTGCCCCACCCTGGTCATTCCACAGATATATAAACCTTTTCCTAGTTCCAACAGACCTCACTACTTCTGAGGATGCTTGCCATAGATGCAGGCGAAACGTCAGGAGAAAATGCCTCTAGAACATGGCCATACAGCCCGAAAAAACCTACAACAACCCAAAGCGTTGAATGTTTGCCTGTGTCTGTTTATATGCTGTAATCTGCTCTGAG